CACTCACCCACCAGCCGTAGGCGCCCCTCGCCGATATACGAGGAGGTTGGTAGCGCGGCCCCATCGTCGAACACCTGCCCGCGACCATCCGGGCGGCCGCGCCCCGCCGCCGCCATGTTGGCCTGCCGGGCCGCCGCCTCCGCCGCGAAAGGCTTCTGACGCCGCCGCCGCGCTCGGCTCACGCCGCGCCTCAGAGGGACCGCGCCGCCAGTGCACTGCCGACGCTAACCGGGAAAGAAGCAAGGAGGGAACCAGTTAGAGAGTTGGCTACAGAGTCCTCGCGCACACTCGGACCGACCTGCCTGCCTGACTGACTGACGGGGCCGGCGGGGGAGGGAGGGGCGAGCGCCGAGGAGGGCGCCGGGCGAGAAAGAAACGTACGCGGATATGGCTCTCCCCGCCTCGGGCGGGGTGACGGCCAATGGCCAGCGGAAGCGGCGAGGTTGGCAGTGAGCATGGGCGGCAGAGTCACCGCCCTGCGTGGTCAGATGCGTTCGCCCAGGGGAGTTGCGCGGAGGCGGCTCTGGAGAGGCAGAAGGACACCGAGGCGTCAGGTTCGGGTGTGTATCGCTGAGCCGGAGACACTGTCAGGGAAGAAAGCCCCGGCAGGGCGGGTACCCGACTCGGAGTCAGAGAACCTAGGACACGCATGAGGGACGAACGCACCACACACCGGCCACAGGCCTGCAGCAGGCCTGCGCCAGTCAGTGGCCCGCACACAAACTTAGAAGCCTTGAGACAAGGACAGAAACCGAAAGGCTTGACCGAAACCACAAAAGACATTTGAATACTGGAATAGTGTGAAACACAAGGTGGGGAGACTGAAGTGAGAGATTCGGATACGCTAATCAGACAGGTTCGTTCCTAACCAATGTTTGTTGAACATCTATTATTCTGGCATCAACATTCTAGAGGGAGATGATAGATAAGAAAAGAAAGAAAAAGAGAGGTAAAAAAAAAATACTCAAGTTGTAATAAGTACTATGAAGAAATATAAGCAGGGTAAAGGGTTAGAAGGTAGTGGAGAAAGACATTGAGATTCAGGGACTGAGGCCCAGATAGGTACAGATCGACAAAGGAAGCTAGGACATACTGAAACAAATGCAAGGATGGAAAGCTAAAACCCAAACATTAAGATGTAGAGAAAACGAGACAAACAAACTGAAGCCGATACTCTACAAGCACCAGAGGCTGAAAAATAAATATCAGAATCCTCAAAGCAGTGAAACCAAGAATAGCTACAAGACAATGAAATGATGGGCAGCCACTGCTTCAGAGCCATTTCCCAGGCCATCTGTGGAGAGGGAGAGAGTAAGGATGTAAGATCCTGCATCCCAGTTGTCCAACACTGATCTTGAAAGCCTTCAACTCATGACTTCTACACATCAGCAAATTTCAATTAGTCTCAAAGTGAATAGCAACTTTAAAAAACCTTGTGGAGGGAAGTAAATATGTGGCACATGAGATAAGAAATGAAGTGCCAGAGCGCTGCCTGGATGGCTCCATTGGTTGAGTGACCAGCTCAGGTAATGATCTCTCCGTTTTTGAGTTCTAGCTCCGCATTGGGCTCGCTGTATCAGACAGAGCCCACTTGGAATCCTCTGTCCCCTTCTCTCTGCCCCTCCCCTGTTTGCTCGCTCTGTCTCTCTCTCTCTCTCTCTCTCTCTCTCAAAATAAACATTAAAAAGAAAGAAAGTGCTGCAAAACTTACTTCCCTGAAACATACTTAGTCCACTAAGCAGAACACAAAGTTTTAGAATACACCACCTCACTTTATTCTTTATTAAGAAAAGATTGTATCTTTTAAAGAACAGGCCAGTACAGGCTCTGGGTAGCTCAGTCGGTTAAGCAGCTGACTCTTGATTTCAGCTCATGTCGTGATCTCCTTGTTTTTGGTGAGATCAAGCCCTGATTAGGCTCTGTGCTGATGGCAAAGAGCCTGCTTGGGATTGCCTCTCTCTCTCTCTCTCTCTCCGTGCCTCCCACTGCTCTCTACTCTCACTCTCAAAATAAACTTAAAAAAAAATAAGAATAAATAATTAACATTAAAAAATATTATTAAAAGAGGCCAAGATAAATGGAGTGCACTTTGTGAAATGAAAACCGTAGTAACTGAAGTAAAATTCAATAGTGCAGTAAAAAAAGCAGATTTGACAATGCAAAAGAACAAATCATCAATACAGAAGATAAATGTGAGAAAAAATTCAAAGTGATGGAATTCTTTAAAGAAAAAATGAGTAGAGAACATCAAGCTATAGGCATTGCTCAAGAGAAGACAGAGAAAATCAATACAGGCAATAATTTAAATTATAATAAACTTTCCTTAGTTCTGAAAACATCTGAGGTGCAGGTGGAAAACTGAGGGAATTCACTGGGATCCAGAAAAATTAAGCATAAATCAATTTCAAGATGTAATCTGGAAAATTCTAAATAAATCTCAGAGATAAAGAACAAATACAGTCTCCAATAAGGAAAAAATTATTTATTAAAAAAAACACTTGTTGAGTGCCTGGTGGCTTAGTCAGTTAAGTGTCCAACTCTTGATTTCAGCTCAGGTCATTATCTCATGGTTCGTGGGGTTGAGCCCCCAAGTCAGGCTCCATGGTGACAGTGGAGAGCCTGCTTGGGATTCTGTCTCCATTCCCTCTGTTTCTCTCCCCGTTCGCCTGCCCTCTTTGTCAAAATAAATAAATAAATAAACATTAAAAAAAACCACTTTTTTTTTTTCAGATTCCTCCTTTGTAATAATCAAATGCAAAAGAAGATGGAAAACTGACAGCACTCTGAGGAGGTAAATTGTAACCTTCTTGAATGGATTTTATACTTATATTTGGATTTTACTCAGGAAAGGAAAATTACAGTAAAAAAATTACTTGGCATTAGGGGTACCTGAGTGGTTCAGTCAGTTAAGAGTACAACTTCGGCTCAGGTCACAATCTCACAGTTTGTAGGTTCGAGCCCCACGTCCAGCTCTGTACTGACAGTTCAGAGTCCGGAGGCTGCTTAGGATACTATGTCTCCTCTCTCTGCCCTTCTCCTAGTTATTCACGCATGCATGCTCTCTCTCTCTCTCTCTCTCTCTCTCTCAAAAATAAACAAACATTAAACAAATTTTTCAAAAAAAGTACTTGGCATCTCCTCTGACAGAAAATCAAGTAAGTCTATGACAATGACAGAAATACTATATGTAAGTTATCTTCAGACTGGTAAAAATCTTATCAAGAAAAAAACAAAAAAACAAAAAAACCTTTCAAGTGAAGTGTCCTAAAACTAGATTTTTTCAGTCCATATTTTACATGTAGGATTTTTTAAAAGAGCCCAAGGACTTGATGGACAATTCTGAGCTTCTCATGAGATGTGTTTACCGGCATACTTACCAGCAGGTGCAATAGCAATCAGATGTATGATAGAGAAGTGATGCTGTGGGCAGTACTTTGTTACCTTCTAGGGCATTATTTCTTTTGACCTGACCTAATTTAAATTCTCTTTTGGCTCCTAACCCTCTGAGTTCACTACTTTTCACAGTTGTATATGTGAAGCACTTTGATCCTCAAGAAAATGAAAATGGTCAAGATTCAATTAGACTTTTTTTTTTTTTTTAAGTCTTTCAAAGATACTTGTTAAAACATGCCCTTTATGGCATTTCTAAAATCACAATCACTCAAATTTGAATACAGTTCAAAAATATATTTACTTACAACAGTAATATATGCTAAAATTCTGAAGTTATTAATAACACCACTTAAGGACAGTAAGGTATAATAGAGCTGCAGCATTTGAAATAGGACCTCAGTCTACAATCTCAAGTCTGGACTCTACTTGTATGACTAAGAATCTGCTTCACTTACAAATACTTTCTCACCTGAAAGAGGGATATCACCACCTTTTCCTCCTTCGAGGTGGCTGTTCAAATAAAATGAAATAATATACCTAGAAAAGCACTTGCCACCAAGTGTTCAATAAATATTAGTTTACTTCTTTCATTCAAAACAAAACACACTCACAAGAAGATTTAGGTGTAAGGGAATCTACACTTCCGTTAAGTCCTCATCACAAAACAATACAGCTAGTTCGAAGAACTACAAACGTTTCTGAGGGATATGGATCAAGATAAGGGAGGCTGCATGTGATTCTACAAGAATTCCATTACGGGTGCATACATATTGACCACTAAAACATTAATAGGAAAAGTCCACAGCAATTGTGCTAAAACGTCTGAATACATTTCTGCTGGCAAGAGAACTCACTCGGGGTAAAGAAAAAAAAACAAGAGATCAGGCCCAACTCCAAACGACTCTAATAAATTAAGAGAGCGGTACTGGCTTATTCTTCATTAAACGCAAACAGTATGGGTATTAAAATCCATTTAAAAACTTCAAATTTAAAATATTTCATAGCTAACACTGCTGCCACGAATGCTTTTTATAGAAAGCCTGCGCAGGAGAGCACCGTTAGCATCACCGAAAAAAAAATTTAACGAAAGTCGAGGAAAACGGGAGAGGGAAGATCATTATTTCGGCGTTCGGCACACATGCCGAGGCGAACCCCTTTCAAGACCGCGGCCAACACCACCGTCGACAAGCCTCTGAAGGAATTCCTGGTTTTACAATCGGATGTCAAAAAGAAGGCCCTGATGCTAGCAAACTGGGAGATGGAAGGGGATGAGGGACCGCTTCCGTTCCCTTCCCGGAGATCCTGGCTCTAAACTCCGCGCTGCGCCCGGGTCTGGGGGTCCCCGGGTGCTGGCCTCCGCCCCCTACGCCCCTCCCCGCGACAATCGAAGGCCGGCCCGCGAACCGCCGCGAGCAACACCCAAACCTCGACAGTCTCCCGGGCCCCGCCTGAGGCCCCCGGCGCAGCGACCACAGTGAAGTCATGGATTGGGGTCGCAGCGGCGCCGGAGGCCGGGGCGCGGACGAGGCCGCGGCTGCGTCCGCTGCGTCCCCAGGCAGTGGGGTGGGCGGGCGTGGCCCGGCCTGCGAGCGGGCGTGGACACTCACCACACCATGCCGTAGGCGCCCTCGCCGATATACGAGAGGTTGGTGTAGCGCGGCCCCACGTCGAACACCTGCCCGCGGACCATCTCCGGGCCCGCGCCCGCCGCCGCCGCCGCCGCCATGTTGGCTGCCGGGCCGCCGCCGCCTCCGCCGCGAAAGGCTCGACGTTCCGCGGCCGCCGCTCGGCTCACGCCGCGCCTCTCAGAGGGACCGCGCCGCTGCGGGTGCAGCTGCCGACGCTAACCGGGAAAGAGCAAGGAGGGAACCGTTTAGGAGAGCTACAGAGCCTACGGCCACTCGGACCGACTGCCTGCCTGACTGACTGACGGGCGGGCCGGCGGGCGGAGGGAGGGGCGAGCGCCGAGGAGGGCGCCGGGGCGGAGCAAAGAAACGTGTACGCGGATTGGCTCTCCCCGCCTCGGGGCGGGGCTGCAATGGCCAGCGGAAGCGGCGAGGTCTGGGCGGAGCACTGCGGCGGCGGCAGAGTCACCGCCCTGCGTGGTCACGTGCGTTCGCGGGGGAGTTGGCGCGGGAGGCGGCTCTGGAGAGGCAGAAGGACACCGAGGCGTCAGGTTCGGGTGTGTATCGCTGAGCCGGAGACACTGTCAGGGAAGGGAAAGCCCCGGAGCGGGGTACTGACTGAGTCAGGGAACGACCTAGGACAGCGCATGAGGGACGCCAACGCACCACACACCGGCCACAGGCCTGCAGCAGGCCTGCGCCAGTCAGTGGCCCGCACACAAACTTAGAAGCCTTGAGACAAGGACAGAAACCGAAAGGCTTGACCGAAACCACAAAAGACATTTGAATACTGAGAAAGTGTGAAACACAAAGGTGGAGACTGAAGTGAGAGATTTCGGATACGCTAATCAGACAGGTTCGTTCAACCAATGTTTGTTGAACATCTATATTATTCTGGGCATCAACATTCTAGAGGGAGATGATAGATAAGAAAGAAAGAAAAGAGAGGTAAAAAAAAAAAATACTCAAGTTGTAATAAGTACTATGAAGAAATATAAAGCAGGGTAAAGGGTTAGAAGGTAGTGGAGAAAGACATTGAGATTCAGGGACTGAGGCCCAGATAGGTACAGATCGACAGAAGCTTAGGACATACTGAAACAAATGCAAGGATGGAAACGCTAAAACCCAAACATTAAGATGTAGAGAAAACGAGACAAACAAACTGAAGCCTTGGAAGTACTCACAAGCACCAGAGGCTGAAAAATAAATATCAGAATCCTAAAGCAAGTGAAAACCAAGAATAGCTAAGACAATGAAATGATGCAGCCACTGCTTCAGAGCCATTTCCCAGGCCATCTGTGGAGAGGGAGAGAGTAAGGATGTAAGATCCTGCATCCCAGTTGTCCAACACTGATCTTGAAAGCCTTCAACTCATGACTTCTACACATCAGCAAATTTCAATTAGTCTCAAAAGTGAATAGGCAAACTCTTTAAAAACCTTGTAGGGAAGTAAATATGTGGCACATGAGATAAGAAATGAAGTGCCAGAGCGGCGCCTGGATGGCTCCATTGGTTGAGTGACCAGCTCAGGTAATGATCTCTCCGTTTTTGAGTTCTAGCTCCGCATTGGGCTCGCTGCTATCCGCACAGAGCCCACTTGGAATCCTCTGTCCCCCTTTCTCTCTGCCCCTCCCCTGTTTGCTCGCTCTGTCTCTCTCTCTCTCTCTCTCTCTCTCTCTCTTCTCTCAAAAATAAACATTAAAAAAGAAAGAAAGTGCTGGAGCCAAAACTTACTCCTTGAAACATACTTAGTCCACTAAGCAGAACACAGTTTTAGAATACACCTCACTTTTATTCTTTATTAAGAAAAGATTGTATCTTTTAAAGAACAGGCCAGTACAGGCTCCTGGGTAGCTCAGTCGGTTAAGCAGCTGACTCTTGATTTCAGCTCATGTCGTGATCTCCTTGTTGTGAGATCAAGCCCTGCATTAGGCTCTGTGCTGATGGCAAAGAGCCTGCTTGGGATTCTCTCTCTCTCTCTCTCTCTCTCTCCGTGCCTCCCACTGTCTCTCTCTCGCTCACTCTCAAAATAAACTTAAAAAAATAAGAATAAATAATTAACATTAAAAAATATTATTTAAAGAAGAGGCCAAGATAAATGGAGTGCACTGTGAAATGAAAACCGTAGTAACTGAAGTAAAATTCAATAGTGCAGTAAAAAAGCAGATTTGACAATGCAAAAGAACAAATCATCAATACAGAAGATAAATGTGAGAAAAATTCAAAGTGATGGAATTCTTTAAGAAAAAATGAGTAGGAGAACATCAAGCTATAGGCATTGCTCAAGAGAAGACAGAGAAAATCAATTACAGGCAATAATTTAAATTATAATAAAACTTTCCTTAGTTCTGAAAACATCTGAGGTGCAGGTGGAAAACTGAGGGAATTCACTGGGATCCAGAAAAATTAAGCATAAATCAATTTCAAGATGTAATCTGGAAAAATTCGTAAATCTCAGAGATAAAGAACAAATACAGTCTCCAATAAGGAAAAAAAATTATTTATTAAAAAAAAAACACTTGTTGGAGTGCCTGGGTGGCTTAGTCAGTTAAGTGTCCAACTCTTGATTTCAGCTCAGGTCATTATCTCAT